TGAACTTCAAATTTTTACGGTGCAGTGCAAACTTTTAACCCACTGCGTCACTGCCAACCCCATATCATTGTGTTACTGTACTTGTATAAGCTGCCGCCGTTCCAGACATATTTCTCTACTGTCTGTTTTCGACAAAGTTTTTCCTCATGCACCGCTGATACCGCTGCACTAAAAGCTGGAGATAAATCGAACAGCAGAGCAAACTAGATTTTATCACCAAAATGGAGTTTATCTGCTTACTATCTGAACTGCATAAAGAATTCGTGAAACTATAACCGGTGACTTCTACGTGAATGTAAGAGCTGCCTTTGGCTCGATCAGCAGACAGATGCCATGTGCAATGCCGGAAAGCGTAAAATTCCCAAATTTTCCACTAGAGGTGACAATTTTCATACCAGCACAGTTAAGGTTCACGGTAAAAATCGACCGTATGACCGCCTCGCCTCTCCCAAGCTCAGTCACAAGACAAGGCTGCATCCTGATCTACACTGATTTCGCTTGGCAAGTGACCGTAAGCTACATGAAACGGGACGCAGCTAGGAAATACGTGACCGATGCATGTTCAGAAACATCCATTACACTAAGGAGACGTCGTTCAGTTTCCGGCCTGATTGAGAATTAATATCGGCCATTCTGGGGCACTTCACAAATGCGGCTGCCAAGTCTAATTTACACTCGCTGTGGGAGGGTCACCAAGTTACAAAGCGTAGCTGCGGTTAAACCGGGTCAATGAGTCATAACGATTGGCCAGATATCGAAATCAGTCAGCAATCCATGGAATGGGACAGAAAACCCCTTTGGGAGACCTCAAAGCAGAGACGCCCGTCTCGGTCATGAGATCACTGGCGCACTTCTGATGCCAGTCACCATTGAACATCAAAATGAAACCCTATTTACAACAGACGGTGGTCATATGAGCACCATTTTATGGCTGAGAAATCTAGGCTCTGCTAAAGGAGAATTTTTGAACTCATCTTAAGGTGTTTCAAATAAAACGCTGACGACAACTGTAGAACATCAACTGGTCATATTGCATACATTTGTAGCGTTTGCAGATGACGAATATATTAAAGTTAACAGAGAAATATGTTCGCCTGGAAGGAACGCATGAATAACGTCGAGAACGGCTCTATTTAATATGATGGTGCAGCACGTGACGCAGGAAGGACACGCAGCTCCTCCTCCCGATGATCAGAACATAGAAGCATCGTTAAAGAAACAGGCACTAAAATTCCATGAATCATCCAGTCCTGTGAAGATATAAATCGTGACAAAGCATACTACAAACTGTAAGAGGATTCAATTAGCTAGATACATTTAATTTTGTTCAATGCGTACGACTAGCCGCATATTGAGCGAAAGAACATCTTTACCTTGCAGAAACGACCAAAATGTCGTACTGGCAAATCAATCGATTGACAAACAATTTTGTGCAAAACTAAAACTTTTTATGCTGTCTTTCAGTATCATTGCCAAAGAACAAACCAAATGCTCAGCATATAACACGTTTCATAAACCATGCAGAATCGATAGATATTAGTAGTACATTATATACTACTGTATAACATCTTGCATTATACACCGAAGTATATAATTTGTGTATATACACAAAGTATATACCGCATGCACTACTTTGTTACACAACTATACATACGTCATATGCAATAGCATATAACATACATAACAAAACAGCAGCAAGCAGAATACATTAGTATATCCAACGTCTTAGGAACAGCGATAAAATATTTCATTAAATGCGCTGATGCCAGAATATACGACTGGGCATGCAGCAGCTCTCAAACTAAGCATTACTGCCTTATACGGGCGAAATGATTCCCTTAAATTCAAAATCTGGGTACTATTCGAACAGAGTTTTCACATAACGTTAAGAGAGAAAAGTGCGCGAAACAGAAAACCTACATAAACACGCCTTAGTCATTCTATCACTTGGAGAAATTGTACATGCACTTACTGTATTTGATCTGAAAGTTCGTTAAGAAGTCCTTCGATAGGTCAATTTAAATAAGAAATGCAACGCAAAAACGATTTAGCTCTCTCATATTTAGTCATAAATTTAGAAAAGTAATCTTTCCTAATTTTGATGCAGCTCTTATATGCCCCGGATTATCTTTGCGGTCGGTATTCAGCAAGGAACAGCGACAGCCAAAAAACATCTTTTTTGTTATGGTTTCTAAGCCTCACTAATAGGGGCAACCATAAGGAAAAGAGTTTGGAAATGACTGCTTCAACAATAACGAAGAAAATAATAAAATTCTCACGCAAGTAAAAAACTCATAAACCTACGGTTAAATGAGACATCGCAAAAATTTCTTCCTAGACGTAAACATGATGCAGCGTCATGCCGAACATAAACTTATTCTGAATGAAGAAATGGAAAGTGACACTGACTCAAGGACGTCAGTGTACCCAGCGCTTTTGATCCTGTGCCAAAATTTTATCTTCCCAGTCTGGAAGAGAGGACTTAGGTTATTCTTCGTTGTCCCTAGGGTCTTCTGTCAGTCAGTTAATAACTTAATAAACTAATAAATAACCTAATAAACCAAATAAACTAACAGCAATTTCACATTCATTTTTGCACGTGTTCGCAAGACAGCGTAGCTGTCGCCATTGTGTCTTCTCAGTCTGGAGAAGCACCGGCGGTGCACCAAGATCCTCTCAGAAACATATACAGTGGTACCTCGAGTTACGAATATAATTCGTTCTTTGACTCCGTTCGCGAGTCGAAATGTTCTCAAGTCGAAACAGTTTTTCCCATTGAAATTAATGTAATTTCAATCAATCCGTTCGCGCGTCCCAGAAACATGGTTTGTTGATTTTTCTTATGGATTTATGTGTGGCAAAAACATATCACATAAAACATACAGCACTATAACTTTACCTCCTTTGCGATTGAGAGTTACAGGAGGTAGAGGTGGAGAAATAAGACTACTCCTTCGAAGGAGAGTCCCATTCCATAATAACGTCGGGCAACTGCATAGGCATTTCTGATGTTTTTTCTCGTATCCTGGGAAGTGATTCGATTGCTGGCTCGGTGGCTGGTGTTTTCCCCAAAAAACGATCCAGAGACATTTGTATTTTTTTGGTTGGATAATTTTCTGAAAATGGGACATCACATTGTCATTTAAAATGTCCACAGCTAGGCTGGTCACAATTTTGTTAGGGTGATGTTTCTCAATGAAAACCTGCACTTCACTCTACTTGCTGAAAATTTCTTTGATCTCAGCACTTGAAACATGTGCCACCTCTTCCTCCTCCTTTTCTGAGGGCTTCTCCTACATAACTTTCATCTGTTCAGGTTGCAAATCAACAAGTTCTTCTGTGTTGAGTTCTTGCCTTGGTCCTCCACCAGATCCACCACATCCTCCTCGTTGGCCTCCAAGCCCAGACTCGTGCCAATGATCACAATCTCGTTTACTAGAGTTACAGCTGTCTCCTCAGAGTCGCTATGAGGCACATAACCTGGCCAAAAGTTCGTCCAGGCAGATTGCAACGTGCGGTTAGAGACATTGTTCCATGCCTTGTCAATGATGTGTATGAAGTGGAGGATATGGAAGTGATCCCTAATCCCTTCAAAAGTCACGCAGGTCAAATTCGTGTCGTTGGTCACCTGGAAACACTTGGAAAAAAGAGCCTTTGTATATAACATCTTGAAGTTGGAAATTACTTGCCGATCCATTTGCTGCATGAGAGGAGTGGTGTTAGGAGGCAGAAATCTGACTTTCATGAAATCGTATTCAATATCAAGGTCTTCTTCCATACTAGGAGGATGGGCAGGAGCGTTGTCCATAACCAGCAGAC